CCTGCGCCAGCTCTTTGCTGGACTGTTAGATCATGTTCAACTATCTGTAATTATAGATAGGTTTTATGTTTTTTTGTTTTGTTTTGGGGGGTTTCTGCATTCAGAGTACATTTACAGTTTCTTTTATGCCTCAGATCTAACAATTACCATTATTTATCTGACAGGAGAATGATAATAAAGTTAGTAAGTGTTCTCATTATGCAGTTTCTCTTGGTGTCTTGTCAACAGTAGTCATCGGCTTTGCATATCAAGGGCTGTGACATGAAACTTGCAAAGCAACTCACCAGCTGCTGCTGTCCCAGCATGGACACATGGAAGGATTTGTCTTTTTATCTCTGCATCTTATGATGACATTTTTCAAATCTATTTTCAGTTTTGTTCTTTATCTTAATGCATAAGGGATTTTGTGTGTTGCTTCCACCTGACACAAAGGCAACAGATGTGTGGATTACTGGATATGTGGCAACTCATGTAGGTTTAGGCATCTTTGATGTTGGACTTTTATCAAATACAAGCCTGTGAGAAATATCAGGTAACCCGCACTCACATTTCTATGAGCTGTTACTTTTTTCAATAAGGAAAAAATACTTGTTGACAATGCTGCCGGAGCTCAATAAATTAAACCTCATAGTATTTCACCATTAACAGACTCGTTTAAGAAACTGAAGTTGTCTGTAAATGAAGTTAACAGCTACTTAGCAAAGCAGAGAAAGGCCATAGAATTAGTGGCTTTTTTCATGCTAATGCTAATCAAAAAGATGCATTTCCAGCCTTAGTTAAAACCTACAATTACATGAAAGCTTATCACTTTATTCCTCTATCTAGCATGCATGTTTTTAGCTAAATGCAGCTAGCTTATCTATAATGTAGTCAAGCTCAGAAAACACTCTGAATGGTCAGTCAGTCAGTGTTTTGTTATTTAACAGAGAAAAAGAACATGGTACTTATACACTGGTTAGTGTGTACATTACACCTTCCAACAACAGTCCAACAAAGTGATGCATTCTCATAAACTTAAAATTAATCCATTAAAAATACATAAAAGCAGTTTGTGGAAGCCTTCATGTTGCCCTGCAGTCTTGGATACAGTTGCCAAGATGGACATCGCCATTTAACCTAATCACATTTTATGTAGTTAGAGATGCTACCATTGACCACATACATAGCATGGTGAGGAGAGGAAAAGCAACCTGTCAGATTTTAGGTGCCTGGGAGGCAAATTTTAATTTGTACCTGCTCATGATGTTTTTCCACCTGAAGCAGAAGGCTGTTTTCACACTACAGCTCAACCGATGTATCTGTGGGCCGATGTTATTGGCCTGTATTATGTATTTTCTGATATATAACAGCCAATAAATGAAAATAACAAAGAATAGCAAGAAGAAATACACTCTAACCATGTTTCAAGTGTTGATGCTAAGTAGTGTGTCCAGCAGAGGGCACGGCAACTTCCTGGTTGTCAGCATGTCAGTTAGGAACACCACAAAAAACAACTATCTGCTCCAAGGAGAGTCGGGCGGGTTATGGAAACCTGTTTATGTTTTGTGTGTTGGAAAGAAAAAATAATCAACAAATATCAGTATCAGTCTTAAATATCGGTTAGGTTCTATTTCAAGTCCTGACAAACATAACAGAGTTTTTCCTGACTGAATTATTCTCTCCTTTTAATTCATTCACTGATCGTAATTCCCCGTGAATCACTAAGAAACTGGAGAAAACATAGACCTGAGAGCCAGATGTTTCCCTCGGGAGCTGGAGGAGACCAGACAGAGGTGAAAGACAGTCAGGTTATTAGTATGTGATGCACCCTGTAATCGTCTACCTGTACAAAGACTTACACTTTTTATGGTCTTTGTCTCCTTTTTGCATCACACACGCGACACGCTTTCATCGCCAGTTCCTCAAATAAAGCTGCCACATGCAGTGAGTATTTCTCTAACATGTTTAATCGTGTTTGTCCAAAACAGTGCATTGCATAAGGACTGGTAAATGAAACGTTAGTTCAAAAAATATTTTATCAGCATATTGACTGTAACAACCTGACAGGATGACAAACACTTCCAGTTGGAGTACAGTAATGTACAGTACCGCAGTACGCTGTTACCATTTAGATAAACTCACGGTGGCTTCACTATTACACAATACACACAGTTTCACAAGCCTGTTTCACTCATCTCATCCAGTGCGACTGAAATTTTGATCAAATATAAACACAATACGGGTCCGTTAGTCTTAATTATGAGCTTGACTGATTAAAGTGCTAAATTCTTACACAATGGGAGGGCGTTGTAGAAAATTACGAGTCCTTTGGTGCAGCAGGAAGCCGTGTTAAGGTAGTGTATAGAATATATGCCTTGTTCTATGCATTATTGCTTTTGTTTGTGGCTTATATAACGGTCTAAATATTGCTGTAATTGGTACTTCTGTTATTGAGTATTACCATGAATAATATTTAGAAATCATTGTTCCACATCACTGAGACCTGTGGGTGCATACAGCACCAGCAGATTAGAGGTGGATTTTTTAGGCTTTTTCATTTTCTGTGTTGTGACACACCAAACAGTTGGAATCATGCTGTCCTTCTCCACTGGGAAGATTAATATCCGCCCAAATGACTCGCACGGGTGCTAGAAAGTATAATACAAATGAGAATGTATTATCCTATTAACTACCAAGGGCCTACATGTTAATTATCTTGGCCCGTGGTAGTCCAGAAACTGGGTTAAGTGAGACCTTATTACGAATGAAACACAGGCTGCATGAGCAGCGTGCTCAAAGGAATATGAGAAAAGATTATGATGAATAATCTTCACACCCAACAAAACAACGCACATTTCTATCTGTAGTTGAAATCCATCCAACGAATGGAGATACTGACGTAGTGACGTACTTGTGGCATTATTTTTGGGTTGACCAAATAACCTGAGACATATACCCAAATTCAGGACATAACAAGTCAGTCAGTTGTTTTCCGGTTGCAAAGGTATTCTATTTACATCAAACAACCCGAGATCCCCACCCTGAATCGCTGCCTCCCCTTGACTGCAGGATTTGAAGGATTCTCATCTACGACGACAGATGAGTGATAAGAATAATAACACGGAGGGCAGACCTTCATTGTTATTATGCAAATCTCTAGAGAGTGGCTCATGAAATGAAATAAATGATTAGGCTGGTGGAATCAAACACTCTCAGAGTGTGGCTTCTGCTGAGCACAGTGAAATGCTATCAGTACATCTCTCCCATTAGAATCACAGAAATTAGACACTAAAACCAAATCACCCTCTTTGTCCAGGCTGCACCTCGGCCCATCTAAAAGTACCATCTGTGTTCTGAAGTGAAGAAAATCATGGCACGCTGCTCCCTCTAGTGGATCATGTCAGGAATTAGACACAACCTATTACATGTCCAGGTCTCTTACTTTAATGTGTGAGTGCACGGTCCTTCATGAACTCGTTCAAATGAACCCAAAAGACTGTAAAACTTTTATACAATAATATTTCATGTTGATGCAAATAAGACAGAGATTCAACATGAAAAAAGGACGCTTTTTGACGTGCGCTTTAATTCCCAGGTTACTGCATTAAAGAGGACTCACAATAAACAGCCTTAAAGGTGAGCTGCAGACATGTTCATTTCTATATGATTGGAATATGTGAGGAGGAATTAAAGGTTCTTACAAGTTTCCACTTTCTGCTACCTTTTATCAAATGAATATTGTGATTTTCACTTCACTACAGTTATTTATTAGGGGGTGTTACAGTACAGCACAGTTACTAATGACTTTCATTCTGAGCCCTTTCACGTTTCAAGGTTATATTATCGGCAAATCTTAATTCCTATCACGTGGCTCTGTTTAATTTAAATCAATACCTGAGAGGTCAGTCAAAAAGTTACAGATAAGAGAAATCTTTAAAAGTGCAAGAAAATAAGTGAAACCAGCTACAATAACAGTGCATCAATGTCAACCTAATAACATCATACAGTCTATGTTATTACATACCACACATGTGACCTTTGAACTATTGCATTTTTTTTGTTAAATACATTTATAGTTTTATTCTGTAGAATATCAGTAAAGGATGCAAGTAGTACATTTATTTTGAAAATGATCTGCAACAGTCAAAAAAATTGGAAACGTATGGGGACAGAGCCAATCTTTCATTTGATTTCTGCGAGGAGTTAAAGTGTCCACATTCGTGAAAAGCGTCTCATCACTCTGCTCATTACTGTAACTTACTAACTCAGTAAGCACAGAGCTGCCTCATGCTCTGTGAGTTTGTGTAGGAAATAAAAGTGGGTTCAGTTGAGCCACTAGAGGGAGCGTGACGCCATGTTTTACCTCAAAAGTGCTCTGAAGCGACAATAAATATACTTTTTTGCCCAGTTAAACTGCACTGTGTGGTTTTTCAGGAAGCCTGATGATGATCATTTGGGAGTGCTCACACTTTCCACAAACACTACGAGTAAACTCTGAAAGGGGCAAAGCGAGCTTGTTCGACTGTTGTCTAGCACTGCTCGTTTATGGGAAAAAAGATAAACCAACAACAACAGAAAATCCACAACCTGGCATCGGCTGCTCCATCAATCATGCACACATTTAGAAGCGCAGAGATACAGCATATTTACACTGACCATCAATCTGTTGCTGACTGGCTCCTCGTTGGTACATGGATGGTCTGTGGGGGTTCTTATTGTTGTTTTTTTATGAGGAGATGCATTTTGTAGCCTGTTGTGGCAAACAGAGAGGAATGGGGAGAGCATGAGAGCAGAGACCAACGGGGAGGTAATGACGGCAAAATCAATTTCACACTTGACTGCATTTAGGAGAGGTGAGTGGCGCCGGGCATCTTGATCTGTCCATCAGCCCGCGTGATTCTCGTTGCAGTGGCAGCATCATAACTCCTGTTAGACTAACCGAGGGCCAACAACCATGACTACATGGATGATATGGCTGTTAGAGCAAGAAACTAGGCACCTACTACATCACGACACCCCCCCTCCCCCCCACCACACACACACACACACTCACACACACCCTGTACATATGACATCTTTATCTGCAGGAGTGACGCTGCGCTCATCCGCCAACTGTTTAACCTCCAGTTTCTCCAACAAGAAGAAAAATAGGCCAAAAAGAACCATACATATATCTATCACGTGAGATTTTTCTGCTTCTTTTATGGAAATATAAAATGAGATCTTGTACATTATAATTATAGACTCTTCAAGATGAGTCACCTCTGTTCCTTCCTATTATGACGCTAACCTACACATTATTTATTTGCAAAAAGAATCTGCTAAAGCGCTTAATTATGGACGATAACTGTAATTTTCTGATATTTTCTAGACTTCTTCTGTGCACTTTTTAGCAACGTCATCGCCGAATGTCAGTTTTGTCCAGACGAGGCGCTCAATGACAAAACATCCCCTGCTTCACCTCTATCAGCCAGTTAGGGAACAGCAACAGCCGACAGCAGGGAGGACAATCTTCTGCTGTGGTGCTGTGTGTTATCAAGATAATGGTGTCCTTTGTCTATTCAAGGATTCAATTACCGGCAGATTCATCACCTCTAAAGGTCAGCAGAGGCTGAAACTGCACCAAGGTCCTGATCACACTGGAAGCACACTGGATTTCCTCTGTTCCTTTAACATGTTTGAAAGTTGCTTTCATGCATTAGAATGAAAATTCACTATGTGGGGAAAAAGTGTCAGACTGTTAGTGACTGAAATCAGACACTTCTATGCCAAACATGAATGTCCTCCCAGAGGGGCCACTTGATTTTGGTTAAAACAGCTGTGCAGTGGTGTATAGTGAATTTTCTCGAAGCTCAACCATTTGAAGACTGAGAAGATTTAAAGTTAAGAGAACAGCGTTTTTCATAGACTATGCAGGTGTAAGCCTGCAGCCAGTTAGTGACTGTTAGGCTTCATCTTTGATAATCCAAGTCACTAAACTGCACATCGACACTTTTTGATGGAATTTTATGACACATAATATAACTTGCTGTGTGGTCCAGACCATCCAGTAAGTTTCAGGTTTATTTTGTAATTTTTTTTTTATTATCATTTATATTATCTGTTTCTTGGGACTATCCATACTTTCTGCCACGTATCTGGATCTGCGGCTCCCTGCCCACTCCCCCAGTTGTGCTGTGCAACACTGCAAGTTTTGGTACTGATCCAATTACAAGTAATTAAAAAATTTTTTTATTTAACATAAATCAGTGGACTGAACTTAGAGGATAGAAACAAATTATCGATCCTATTGAACTAGTATCAGTTCAATACCAGCAATAGTATCGATACTATTGATATTTGGATTGATAGTCCACCTCTATCCCTCTTCTCTTCTGAGGGTCACCAAGACTTTCCAAATCCAGCCTAGAGATGTAATCTCTTAAGCTTGTTGTGAATCTGCTCCATGGTCTTACGCTGCTGTGACAAAACCTCACCTAGGAGCTGCACAGTAGGCATCCTGGTCAGATGTTGAAGCACCTCAGCTGGCTCCTTTACATTAGGAGCTCTACTCTGACCTCTTTCCAAATGACCAAGCTTCTCTTTATCAGCATGCTTGGATTAATGGTAGCTGACAACTTAGACCTCAATTCCTCCAAATATGATTATTACTTGTACAAAAACAGTACAAAAATGTGTCAGCACTAATACTAATATTGAGGGTTCAAAATGTCTAAAAAGAAAAAATTAGCACATGTATGTGTAGAAGCTAATAGCTGAGTTTAAACATTTCTGACTTGTGGAAATAAAGTTTTTTCATCACTTACCAAAGAGTTGAAAGTGATTATAGACACATAAAGTGTAAATATGAAGACGCTGCCAGCAGTTGATTAGCCTAGCACAATAACCAGACAGAGCTGGAAGCAGCTAGCCTGGCTAACGGACCTCCTAGCTTCTGTTTAGAGTAATTTAAAGAGTAGGTGCGAGGAAGTAGCAGCGTTTGGTTACCTTTTGGGGCCTTTCTACACATACTGTTGGGATTTACGTTTATATGTACGGCTAATATCTCATAAGTAGCGTCACTTATTTGTGTGTTGTCTTTGACGGCCCACAGTGTAACATAGTAAGACCCCCTTCACAAGAATGTGGATGGAGGTTGTGATACCTACAAGGCAACAAGGTCATAAATCTGCTCTTATGGAACGCACCCTAGCTCCGTCTTTATGCAGGTCTGACTGGAGGATAAGAGGTGGTTGTCATGGTAACGGTAGTGTTGCTAGCAGAAGGCTGAAGTGCACCGCAAGCTGCAGAAGAAGAAACGTAAGTACTGGATCTCAGTCACACAAGGAGAACTTTTGACCTTTCACCTTAGTGTCCTGTTTATCACACATAATAAAAAGCATTCACTGTCTGGGTGTGGGGCTCTTTGTTCGTTTGGGTCTCCTGAGCGAGCAGAGAGACACTGCAGCCATTTTTTTTAAAACTTGAACCCTTAATTGCTAAATAAATTTAAGAAAATGCACTTTGAGCATATTTGTCTTCTCTCTCTCTCAAAATGAACCCAACACAGTTGTTTTGATAACTAGCCTTTTCTGTCCATTTTGGCCTTTTGTCCACATTTTATGTCACTGAAAACAGAGTTTTCTGAAACTTGGTGTTTGCCTTTTATTAACTCTTACATCAGACTGTGTGCTGTGTTGCTTGCATGACAAAATATTATTGCTTTATCTTTTTATGCACGTTTAGATGCTAACACATGCAAAGGACTCACGCTCCTGTGTTTTTAGAAAGACGGAGATTTCTACATTCCACATTCAGTTAAGACATTTCTGTTATGCCCATCTTTATTCACCTAATAAAGTTGTTCCATTAAAGATTCTGATTGGCCAGTATTTGTTATTGTTTTCAGCATTTTCATGTAGATGGACAATATTTTCAAATCAATGCTTGTATGCACAGATTTTTTTAAATGAAAGCAGAAAATCTCTATTTTAAAAAACAATACTTAAGCAAGTGTTGAAGTAGCTAGCGTGTAGATTAAGATGAGCTCAAGTTCTGAGTTAAGGCCATTACGCCTCGAGCGCGTTGCAAAGAAGCAAGTTTGGATCAGAAAACAGAATTTTTCTGATCCAAACTTGTCGTGTTACACAGATACACACCAAAAGCATTTTTGCAGAAAATTAATTTTTTTTAAAACTTGAAGATGACATCATCAAGCCGTTGCATGTTTTAAACTACGAGCACGCTTGTTGTTTATTTGGATCTGAAAAATTTAGCTCGGTTTAAAAAAAAAAGCCCCAAATTTGTCATGCAAAATCGGTCGGTGCGAATGGCTGCATTAAAAATAGATGAGCCCGAAAAATATTTTTAAGGCACGAAATATTAGCTTGAATTTTACATGTCCGGTGTGTAAAGGGCTTCACTCCTCGCTATTATGACCACTGTTTTCAAAGTGTTTATTTGTCAGCACATCTAATTCTGAATTTATAAATGAATCCCAACAGCCTCTGCTGACTTGAAGCATCTTTGACTTTTTGATACTGCAGTGTTTTTACAGGATCACTTCAAAACATCTGGTTTCAGGATAAGAGATGAAGCGACTAAAATAAATTTCAGCCTGAGTACATGGGGGCTCTACACGAAGATGCCAGCATCTCGAAGCATTTAAGACCTGAACTGAAATAAAAACCGAGTAGAGGCCAATATTACTCATGAAAATAATCTTAACTAAGATTCTTTACACATTTTCCCATTAATTCAGAACGACAGGAGAATTTATTAAGACCCTCCCCATACAATGTGAAAACTGCTCTAAAACTCATTCTTCTCTATGGCTCGCACACACCGCAGCACAAGCGTACCTATGTGAAAAGGCCTTTACACTTCCAAAGATATGCACTCTTTCAGTACAATCGTTTTCTGGTTGGTAATAAACTGCAGCTGAAGTAAATTAGGTGCAAACTAATTCCCCCTTATGAAAAATGACTCGTCATATCTTTAAACTGATCTGACACAACCGATAAACATCAACCACATCCATAACTTAATGTGGTCTAAATCACTAATATCTTTCAACCAGGGCAACATCAATGTTTCAGCAATTATCAGTGCAAACACTGATAAATTCCATAACCTACTAATAGCTGTCAACTTAGTGACCAACAGCCCTGCGTCAGCTGACACTGGGGTTACCAAACAGGAGAGAAAAAGTTATTTCAACCTTCAAAATGTGCTCGACGTGTTGTGTATCTGCTGTAGTTTTGATAGCAAGTGAGTGTGCTCCATAGACACACACGAGAGATCTTTCCCATGAAGAGTAATTAAATAATGTTTTATGCCCAAAATCAAAGTGCACGGAAACACATTTAAGAATGTGGATGACAGCAGTTAGATGTTGTGTTTCTCCCCTGGAGCTGCTGTTGAGTCACATTCTTTTGTTGAGCACGCCGAAATGTCTCGAAACAAACAACCAGCTCATTATTTTATTGCCACAGTGGTCTACGAGCAAATGGCTTTGTGTTCTGCTCCCTGTGTTTGTTCATGCTATGGCTCTTTTTTAATCACTTACACAATCTTTGTCTGCTATTCGCAATCTGTTACGGCTGGAAAGAAGCTTAAAGCCTACTGTTACATGAATTTATAACTTGTCTTTACTATTTTCTGCCCGACTTATCCACAAATTTCATATTCGCTATTTCAGATTAGTTAATCCTTCTTGTATGTGAAAGATGCTTTGCAGTAGGTACTATACAAGAGAAGCTTTTCATGGTTGATCAGGTCCTGGCCAAAGCTCCACTCAGCCTGGTTTGAGGACTTTCATTCTGGCCAAATCCATTTTACTTTCAAACCCTTTTGGCCAACATTCAACAATTTTCCATTCTGAAATCCTTCGTTTTAATTTTGCAACCTCTAACCTGCTGGCACCAAAAGCAACACGTCTTAATTATTCAAAAGGAAGTAAACTGTATTCATTAAATATAAATCTGTTTATCCTAATAAATTTATATATTTACAGTGTTGGTGCAGTTGAGTTCAGAACAATGGCACACACGTCCACGCATCTTGCCAGGTGCAGGGTACAAAAATAGGAAAATGAATAAAATCCATGCTTTATCTTGACTGCAGGCCAGAAGAGATCAGTTGAAGCTGATGAGGACCTTTTCAGTCAAATGAAGCACGATGTAATAGAAAGAGGACAGTAGCATACTCCAGTGTGCAGGTGTTCCTTCTTATGTTGAGTCAGGTTTTTCTAATTTTGCTCGCTTGTTCCCATGCTTGCAGTTTCAGGACTCAGGAAGAAAAAAATAAATATATTCTTAAGTGCTTTATGGGCACATTTTGTTCATCTGTTTGGCAAAAACAACACGTTCTACATAATGTTCACAAACTCCAGTAATCCTTATTTACTTCCCATGTGTTAAAAGACACGTCTAGCCACCTTTAGCCACCATCATGTCCTTTGATAAGTAAACCACCCAGTAGACCATGTTAAATGCGCCAAATGACACGGGGAAGAGGATCCGTGCATACTTGTCAATTTTACTGGTTCCGCCCATACCAGCAGTGGTGGGCTGGGAGCACGGCGTCTGCTTCGGCTCCAGTTTGTTCCCCATCATCTGGATGCGCTCCAGCTTCGGGCCCAGCAGATGCTGCAGAGAGGAAGTGCTGGCGTTCTGCTTGCACGGTGTCCCTGCCATTACGTCTGGCGTAGAAGCTGCACCCTGAGGCGTACTCTTCACCAGCTGCGCTGAGGAAGACGCAACGCTGAGCAGGCTCTCAGACTTTGGGCTGGAGCGGGAGAGGGTGGAGGAGCTGCCATTGGTTCCACCGGCTAAAGGTCGCAGCGGCCTTCCTCGCCCTACTCCTGCAATGTTGGTGGTGGACTGGGCTCTCTGTTGACTGCTCGACTCTTGGTGGGAGATATAATTCATGCGCTTCCTCAGATTACCGTTCGTATCAGGATTTTGCTGCGAGAGAGGAGAATAACCATATTTGAGTCAGGCTGATAAGAAAGTGAAACTGACACTGACATTTAAATTTGTTCCTCGTGTTTTAGTTCAGTTTAACAGCTTGAAATACATTTCATTGTGACATTACCAATAAGTTTGATGTGTCACATGGCCCTCTTCCTATTGAAAAAACAAAAGTTGTATCCAGGATGGCCGACTTCTAAATGGCCACCATGGTCACCACCCATCTTGAGGAGTTTGCCCCCTCACATATACTAATGTGCCACGAACAGGACTTTAATATCACCAACCATTCCCATTTTATTACGGTGTATCCATATAAATGGCCCACCCAGTATACAAATCTATCGCCAACTGCTGCACCTGTAAGAAAAAACGAACATACAACACCTGGAACACAAAAATTTGAAAATGCACAGGTACATAAATCAACAATCTGCACGCTCATTCCAGCAGGAGAATGAGAAAGGCCCTAGATGGGGTCCGCACGGCCAAGGGGTGGGAGTCCCAAAGGACCAGTGGCGACGAGCAGCTGACCCCACTGTAGCTGCCCACCCTAGTGTGAGTCGAGATCAAGGCTCCAGGTGCCCAAGAACCGCTTGGTACCTTTGCCTGGGAAGTTCTTGGTGCCACGAAAGAAGTCCAAGCGACAGAAGGAGTTCCAAGACCACCGAGTGAGTGGGTCAGTGACGACACCAGAACATCCAGCCACAGTCCCCGGAACCAACAAAAACCGGGGGAGTGATGGGGATGGTGAACTCCTCCCTCCGTGCCCATGTCCAACAGAGGCCAAGGCTTATTTGTTGTGTATTATTGTAAATAATGTTCCCAGTGCAGTCCTTTCTAGAATAAATTGTTTTTTTCTGTATTTAGCTTGAAGTGGTTAGCAAGGAATTTTCCAGATTTATCACCATGTTCAAAGTTCTCCAAATGCAGCCCCCAAAGCCCTCTGCACAACAGGCCAGATTTAATAATACAATGATGCACTACTTTATTCTATGCACTTTAAGCATTTTATCCACCTCTACCTTTATATTTAGAATTACCATTTATCCTACGATATGTCTTTAGACTGTGGGAGGAGACCAGAGAACCCTGAGGAAACCCAACCAGTTTGAACCAAAAGCCATCTGACAGACAATAGTTTTAACCCCTGTAACACCATGCCACCACTTATTGATAACACTGTACAAATCCAACTGGAATTCTTGATTGAGTTTGTTATTGAAACCAGCTCTCAGTTTGGATTCGGGAGATTATTTCTCTGTATTACTGTAGAAGCTTAATCTTAAAATATAAACCGTTGAATTGATGTTAGCAAAAAAAAAAAGAGTGTTAAAACAATAAACATATTTCGTGCAAAGAATTTTTTCATCTCTCCTTTCTTCTTCCTGTTTGAAGGAGTTTGCAGGATAGGTGAAGTTTACTTCCTCCCCACAAACTTTGTCATATTGATCTGATCACAGTCCCCCGACACAGATGGCCTTCATTTGTGAAGGCAGACGACAGACTGTGCGTAATACAGGTGTCACTTACCATGGCTTTCACTCACTTCACACAAGCTTAAGACAGAAAGTAGGTAGCACCGCATCGGGGTAATGCACTGTAGCGTCAAAGGAGCTTATCCTTTGAAAGTTGATGTTTTCAAGCAGAGTGTGATGCTGGTACTAAGGCATTCGCAGGAATAATCCACCAACACCACCCCCACCCCTTGAATTAGAAAGGATCCAATGTTATTGTGTCCCGTGTGCAGCAGAGGAGGAGTGTGTGTGTGTGCGTGGAGTTTGTGTCTCAACATGGAGGAGGTAAAATGCTGAGGAGTTGGAACCATCAACACACTGTGACCCATGTGCCAAGCCCTCTGGTAACAGGACCTGCTCTTGAGGAAGAGAGTATTAATTTCCCCCCCTGTTGCCAGAGCTGTCCTGAAACCTATACAGATGTAGTCGGACTGCGTTGCCATGGCAACCCCCTAATCCATTGAAGCGCTGTTGTCACTATACTGCATTCAGGCATGATTACGCCACACTGGGATTTAGGCAGAAGGGAACGACTTAAAGTAGTTACTGTAAAACGGGCATATCCGCTGGTGGGTTACGTCAACTTCAATGATCGGTTAACAGATGACCTATGATTTCCACTCTTCAGGCTGAGACAAATACATCGCACGTGTTTATCCGGCACCATGAACACATTCCTACAGTTACATAAACAGCACTGCAACACATTCATCATATCTGACTTACAGCTTTAAAATAGCTTCATGGTATATTCATGAATCCTCGTTGAATCCATGTAACTTGCCATGGTGTCGATGCAATTTGCTTAAACTTCGTCACACAGAAATAGACGCTTATGTCAGTTCATGCACGTATAATTTCAAAAGAAAGGTTGCACACCTCGTGACTACTCCCAAACATCTGTGCTGTGAAGCTGTTTTCAGACCCGTCTTATTTTCTCTCACACACACATTTTTTTCTGTCTTTTAACAAGCAGTTGTTTTTAATTTGACAAGCAAGATTTCATTTGTAAAGTTCTGGGACCAGGTTTCTCTAGCTTTCCTTAACACCCTGTAAGCAGGAGCTCAGCTGACTACTCTCACATGCAGGAACCACTTCTGATGATTCAAACGTGTAGGCTAAAGGCAGTAAGCACATAATAAGGGACATGCTCTGTGAGTGCTCCTTGAAATAAAGTGTGATCAGATTATTGAGCCACTTTGAGAGAAACAGAAGTCACCTGCAGCACTTCCTCTGCGTCCTTGACCTTGACAGGCGTGGATTGGGGCACCGGGGGACATTTGGCTGGCTTCTTTTTGGCGCGCTCAATCTGTGCATTGGTGAAGTAGTTGACAGCGGCAAACTCAATGAGGGCGGAGAAGACAAAGGCGAAGCAGACGGCGATGAACCAGTCCATCGCAGTAGCGTACGAGACCTTGGGGAGGGAATGGCGAGCACTGATACTGAGCGTTGTCATGGTCAGGACGGTGGTGATGCCTTGGTTTGTGGGAAAATAAAAACAAAAGAACACATGAGGCTGTGTCAAAGAGGGAGTTGACATAAATTCTTTCATATTTGATCAAAGCACATAATTAGTCTGAATTTGACTCAATTTGAATGTAAGTAGAGTTGCAAAAATATCCATCTCACTGGGAAAACCGAGGCTTCACCACAAACTGGTATGAATTTTAACACTGCAGATCTGAATAGAAAACCAGATGTGTTCAATAACCCATATATTATGTTCTTCTCATCAGGCGATTTCATTAACTGAAGGCAGAAGGATAATGAACCGTATATACAGCATAGCTTTGCAATAGAAACATGTACAATAGAACCACAAAAAGCATTTGTCCACTTGAGCTACTCTGAGAGTTTCACTCGACTCTGTACTCTGAGGACTGATGTTGCCTGTCTGCACCAGCACAGTGGATTTTCAAACAAACAATCAAGGTGTGATTGAATGCAGACTTTCAGCTTTATAACAAACAAACATTACAAACATTTTTATACATAGAAACAAATTTTCAGAGGCTCAGCAGTAATTGGACAAGCCAGCATAACTTTAACATAAGGTTTGTGGTTAATACTTAGGTGAATATCCTTTGTAATCAATGACTGTCTGAAGTCTACCATTCATGAATATCACCGACTACTGTTTCCTCCCTCGAGTTGCTCTGCTACGCCTTTATTGCAGCTGCTTTCAGTTGCTCCACTCTCGAGTTTGTCTTCAGTATCTGTAAAGCTGCTCTATTTTGTTGAGATCTGGTAACTAATCTGAACATTTCTTTGCCTTGAAAAACTCTTGGGCTTCTTTTGTACTTTCTTTGGGTCATTTGGACTGTGGAGCGCTGTATGATCAGTTTTCCAGCAGAATCGGAATCTGAACAGAAAGTACAGCTCTGCGAACAGAATTCACCCTTTTACATCAGTCAGGAGTCATCATCAGTAAACACTAGTGAGCCAGTTCCACTGGCAGCCATACATCCGCTTGCCATAACATTGCCTCCACCATGTTAGAAAGAGGATGTGATGTGCTTCAAATACTGTTTCTTTCCTTCTCCATACTTTGTTCTTCCCATCATCTAGGTTTGGTTTCACGTGTCCAAGGAGGTTTTTTCCTAAACTGCCGACATTTAGATGTTTTCTGGCAAAGTCTAATCTGGATTTCCATTTCTTGATTGTAACCAGTGGTTGTTGCTGTAAACCTTCTTTGTTGTCACTCACTCTACCTCCTCAACGATGTTTTTGACTCGGCTAGATGTTGTGAAATTTTTTTCGTAACCTAGGAAAGAACAGTTTTTATCCATTGTCTTCTGTGGCGTTTCTTCTTTGATGTCGTTGATGTACCTTTATTTTGATTTTTCAGCCTCCTCTTCTTGCATCTGGGCATCTCTGTGGACCTCAGATTAAGAGCTCCAGCTAAAAGCTGCCAAATACAAGTTCAATACTTGGAATCAACTCTAGATCTTTTAACTTCTTAAACAGTCTGTCTGGAAAAACAAAGGAACAGGCCTCATCTGATCATGAAACTGCTTGTCAGTCAATTGTCCAATTACTTTTGAGGCCCTGAAAAACACTGCTGCCTTCTGGCAAAAGGTACTAGAGCATTCGGCCGTCACTGCCAGACTGTGAAACAGCTTCTTCCCCCAAGCCGTCAGACTCCTGAACACTCAGTGACTCGACTCATTCACCCGCTTAAAGACCCATTTTTACTCTTTGGCTTTTAGTTCTGTATGAGTCTGTCATTATTTTATTCTTATTATTTTCTTACCTTTTATTTTACTTTCCTTTTAAATTTTATCTGATTATTTTATTGTACAGTAATATGGTCAAAAAAATTTGTTTTTAAAAGTGCTATATAAATAAAATTGATTGATTGATTGATTGACAAAGTTACTTTACAGTGCTCAACGCACTGAGCTGAACCGGTGCCCATACGGCTCAGTCTTCTGCACATTTCTATTGCACTGCTGTGTCTGTATCGTTCTTTCTGTCTGGTGTTGTTGTCTTTGTCTTCAGGGGGGGGTTGCAATTTTTGCAAATTGCACTTTATGTAGTCCTGCGTTGATTGTCTGTTATATGCCATATGCAGCACCACGGTCTTGGAGGAACATTGTCTTGTTTCACTATGTATGTACCACTGCACATGGTTGGAATGACAATAAAGCCACTTAACTTAACTTGAATTGACTTGACTTGAAAATGGGGGACTGTGTATAAAAGAATGTGTAATGGCCAACCACTTGCGGTACGATCGTGGCTCAAGAGTTGGCAGTTCATCTCGTAATCGGAAGGTTGCTGGTTCGAGCCCCGGCTCGGACAGTCTTGGTCGTTGTGTCCTTGGGCAAGACACTTCACCTGCCGCCTACTGGTGTTGGCCAGAGGGGCCGATGGGCAATATGGCAGCCTCGCTTCTGTCAGTCTGCCCCAGGGCAGCTGTGGCTACAACTGTAGCTGCCTCCACCAGTGTGTGAATGTGAGAGAATGAATAGTGGATTGTAAAGCGCTATATAAATGCAATTTATTATTATTATTATTATTAAAGATTTGTTTAACCAATAAAAAGTAAAAATTGTACTAAGTGACAAATTAAACCTAAAACGTCACATCTTGACCGTCTGATTTAGAATCCATAAGATGATGTAAAGACTAATTGTCTAAATATAAACATTTTGTCAGTCTTAAACTTGTCACCTAACTGTACCTCTCTGTAAGTCTGTAGATATACAGGGAGTGCAGAATTATTAGGCAAGTTGTATTTTTGAGGAATAATTTTATTATTGAACAACAACCATGTTCTCAATGAACCCAAAAAACTCATTAATATCAAAGCTGAATGTTTTTGGAAGTAGTTTTTAGTTTGTTTTTAGTTTTAGCTATTTTAGGGGGATATCTGTGTGTGCAGGTGACTATTACTGTGCATAATTATTAGGCAACTTAACAAAAAACAAATATATACCCATTTCAATTATTTATTTTTACCAGTGAAACCAATATAACATCTCCACATTCACAAATATACATTTCTGACATTCAAAAACAAAACAAAAACAAATCAGCGACCAATATAGCCACCTTTCTTTGCAAGGACACTCAAAAGCCTGCCATCCATGGATTCTGTCAGTGTTTTGATCTGTTCACCATCAACATTGCGTGCAGCAGCAACCACAGCCTCCCAGACACTGTTCAGAGAGGTGTACTGTTTTCCCTCCTTGTAAATCTCACATTTGATGATGGACCACAGGTTCTCAATGGGGTTCAGATCAGGTGAACAAGGAGGCCATGTCATTAGTTTTTCTTCTTTTATACCCTTTCTTGCCAGCCACGCTGTGGAGTACTTGGACGCGTGTGATGGAGCATTGTCCTGCATGAAAATCATGTTTTTCTTGAAGGATGCAGACTTCTTCCTGTACCACTGCTTGAAGAAGGTGTCTTCCAGAAACTGGCAGTAGGACTGGGAGTTGAGCTTGACTCCATCCTCAACCCGAAAAGGCCCCACAAGCTCATCTTTGATGATACCAGCCCAAACCAGTACTCCACCTCCACCTTGCTGGCGTCTGAGTCGGACTGGAGCTCTCTGCCCTTTACCAATCCAGCCACGGGCCCATCCATCTGGCCCATCAAGACTCACTCTCATTTCATCAGTCCATAAAACCTTAGAAAAATCAGTCTTGAGATATTTCTTGGCCCAGTCTTGACGTTTCAGCTTGTGTGTCTTGTTCAGTGGTGGTCGTCTTTCAGCCTTTCTTACCTTGGCCATGTCTCTGAGTATTGCACACCTTGTGCTTTTGGGCACTCCAGTGATGTTGCAGCTCTGAAATATGGCCAAACTGGTGGCAAGTGGCATCTTGGCAGCTGCACGCTTGACTTTTCTCAGTTCATGGGCAGTTATTTTGCGCCTTGGTTTTTCCACACGCTTCTTGCGACCCTGTTGACTATTTTGAATGAAACGCTTGATTGTTCGATGATCACGCTTCAGAAGCTTTGCAATTTTGAGACTGCTGCATCCCTCTGCAAGATATCTCACTATTTTTGACTTTTCTGAGCCTGTCAAGTCCTTCTTTTGACCCATTTTGCCAAAGGAAAGGAAGTTGCCTAATAATTATGCACACCTGATATAGGGTGTTGATGTCATTAGACCACACCCCTTCTCATTACAGAGATGCACATCACCTAATATGCTTAATTGGTAGTAGGCTTTCGAGCCTATACAGCTTGGAGTAAGACAACATGCATGAAGAGGATGATGTGGACAAAATACTCATTTGCCTAATAATTCTGCACTGCCTGTATTCTCCAGTCTCATTGGCAATCACTTCCATCAATAATTTGGTACCAACCCACTTAATTTCTTATATCATAGTCCTGCTAAAGATAGTCAAGGTCTTTATACAGCAGATGAATTAAGACATCTAAGCAATGGTCAGCATGCTCTACCTCCAAATACTGTTTATATAACTAAGTATTAACTTATATTATGCCACTGTGAGCTTGCAGTTTCCTAACTACAGGGTGGGCCATTTATATGGATACACTGTAATAAAATGGAATTGTATCCATATAAATGGCCCACCCTGTATATCACATTAACACTGGTAACTCTCAAATTGTGGAAATAATTCAAATAAAGAAAGGTTATACATCACAGAGCTAGAGGACACATTGACTGAGGTTCATGCAGACACCATCCCGGGACTGAATGTCATGTGTTCTCATTTATTTGTCGCTGCACTACCCAGCGAGGGACCATAAAAATAAAACAAGACACCTGTCTGACCAGCACCCAAGGTTATGCGGGGCTTCTACAGTAACAGAAGGTCACCGTATAAGCCTGAGGTTCGTCACTCGCCCTTGGTACTATTAACCAATAGCAATAATGTGATTTGGAGAAAATCCCCTTTATGCCAAAGATCTGGAACAATCTGTGCGTCACAGCCCTTACCCAACATAAACGCATGTCTCCTTTGCCCGGACGTGACCGCCATATAATTACC